CAACGATAGGCTCTGATCAACGCCATGTGTCGCTCGGACGCGTTTTATGTACATTTTTCTCCGCTACTGATGATGGTCCACCCACCTATTTATGTTATACCAAAGACGGCACAATTGTCTTGAAAGGTGCTAACTGTCCCGCAAAAGAATACGCTTTCCAGCATAAGTCATGTCTAGTACTTATCAGAGTTCAGACAAGGCGTATCCCGAAGTCTCTGAAACTGCTCAGTAATTGGAAATAGATGAGCTTAGCTTTTGCTGCGCATTGTAATAACCTAACCCGTCAACAAGGCTACGTTGAACTATGCGTACGTTTCTGTACCTGTTGAAGCCTTAGCAGGCTCTGCCGCGGCAAAGGTTTTCACATAGAGTTCACTCTGCTAAAGAGAATAACTAACAGCTGCTATTGAAAGGTGGGCATTTCCTGTTGCGTTTTACTATGCGAAATCAGCGCAGATTTTCCTGCTCTCGTATCCACCAGCCTTAAAACAATCCCATCGATCAGTGACCGGCGTCGAGGACGACAAATAACTATTCCGACAGCGCATGGGATCCTTCGATGGGGATATTCGCCTGTGGATCTGTGTTCCAACATCAATCAAAACATAAATCTAAAACGTATATTCAGTGGGGTGCTAGTGAAAGTGATGATTATGTTACCGCTGCCGCAGGCAAAAAAAAGCGCGTTGACCGAAACATAATTGGAGGCTTTATCGCGAACAAGCGGCCTTCTGTATTGACTGAGGCATTGCGCGAACCAACTTCGGATCGGGCCTCTGTTGCCGCGATCGGAACTACGATCTATCAATAGGATCACAAACGCCATAAGCAACATTTCAATGAACGATATAAAACCGAAGTAGAAACTTCTATACAGACGCATGTCTTTAAAAAATTAAAACAATGAACAGAGAGCGGGTGATAACAAGGTTTTCGGGCACCTAATTTCATGCCGATGACGAAGCCGAGTGTGCAAATGTCTTCGTGCTATGACCTGAAACCCCTCCCATCCTCCGCCCCTCTGAGTTTCAATATGAATATGCGTAGTAATTCCTCATGCTTTGTGGAAAGCCTAGAGTAATCTTTTTTCTGCCGAAGAATTGAAAAGAACGGGAATAAAAATAGAAAGACCGATACGATTACGGTTTCACGAGTATACAGTTCCGACAATAATTAAAGTCTAGTTTTTCCAATAAATTTCCAAATTCGATATACTTTTTCAAGGTTTTGGTGAAAAAAGCGTAAGAAAATATATAAAATTTAATCCTACATAAATGTCATAGGTAGGCGTAGTAAAGGTTGAACAGAGCATTCAACGCTTGCTTTTATTTATTCTCTAACGATTATATCAGACTCTTCACGATGCGACTGTTTCAAATGGCGTAGTTCCCACAGCATGCTTAGTCTCTGACTTTATCTGCTGTATCGATTGAGCTTTGAGGGCAGACAATCCGCCTGACCTTTGTCCTAGGTACGAAGGAGCTCAGACACTCGCATCAATCGATCACGCGATCTTGTTTCAACCATTTTTCATATCTATTATGTACTCTGATAATTCGATAAATGGGCCTCAAAATATAGATTCGTACGATTTGGACGCAGAGTCGCGACAAGCAGAATACTGATGCTTGGAATCCATAACTTCGGCAGTACAACTTCGCGATGTCCGCTCAAGCGAGCGGACATCGCGACAAATAACAGGGGTCCCACCTCCAATGAAACGATGAAGGACCGCAAGATCATGAGTTCATTACTACAAAAAATAATAGCGCTGGCACACTATAATGATCGACAGTGATTAATTTATATAAAGATAACCATCATGAGAAAAAATTTCTGAGCTTACAAGCATATGACTTACCGAAAAAAAAAAAAGAACGATATTTACTAATCATTGAGACGTTACAGAATGATCTCGGTCCTAACCTAGAACACCTCCTGTACACCTTTTGACTTTTGTCGGGCTGAATTAACCAATACGTAAAAAAGCTCCTAGTTTTAGTATTAAGTATAGATTTTCCATCGACACAATTGCGGAAGTTAATCATGAGTCTTACGATCAGATCAATTACACACTGTTCTAACCAAAAGCTTCCAGGTTTGCCACTATAGCGGGTCAACGCGAACGTGTTTACCTACTGAAATACAGGTAAGATGACAGGTAAAGTAACCTAAGCTAAAAGCTCGATGCAGACACATTTCGTTTTGTGGCGGGTATCAGCTTCTGCAACAATGCTTAACTAAGACACTCATAACAGACACGAAGACTTCGAATGTTTCTTGGGCTTGTCGTCGCACCTTCACTACTCTGTCGGATCTGCTATGCTTCGGTTGAATGAATGCTGGACGCGCTCCACAACGTTAAATAAGAACGATTTTGCTCACTCTTCTGCCTAAGACACTCTAAGTATTAGCTCTCAATTTTTTCTAATAACCAGCTGCTACCCTGACTAGGCGATTGACGCTGCCATCGACGCTCGATCAGTTCGCCTTGGCGTTACGCCGTTGCCGCTGCGCGTGTCTGAAGTCGGAGAATTGAATATTTAGATGCATAAGCTCGGCCGTTTGTTTGTTACTTGCTCCTATGGACTGTATAGGGGTGTGAATTGAGCGAAAAACCGGTCCGAAACGCCTCGTACTGCCATCAGCGATGCTAGAGCAGCGACAGGTGTTAATAATACGATGATCAATAGGAGAATTGTCTTTTTGCCACTGCCCTGCAAGGCCTAGTCGTCGATTTTTGCTCTCCTATAGAAATTCTTCACATATTAGAAATCGTAAAAAGAGTATGTTATTAAGTAAACTTACCCTTCCCTAGTTTCTTCCTTTTTCTAGCCTTCCTGCTTTGTGAGCCTAACGGTACGACAAGCAGATTATTACGAACGAAGTAAACCCAGTGCTTGTGGGTACTGTAGTCTTGGAAGTATGCTCAAAAATCGATAACGGAAGCCGGACGGTTGAAAATCAGGTTTTTAGGTCTGCAAGTCAGGAATTGGTTCTGGTCTAAGTAACTGGTTTTTTGACAGCACAAAACGAGCCGTGTGTCTACCCCCCAGTCTCGAACCCAGACAACAAAAAGCAAGCACGTCACTACTAGGCAACGTTTGACCCATGCTAGCCGTATTCTCTAAGCTTGCGCTATGCGGTTTCCGGTAAAAGAAACACAGTTATGTGCCAATGGAGATTCAAGATCGGTCTAGAGTCCTTGCTGCCATATTGCCCAGCCACTGAGTAATCTTTTTTACACGCAAGCAAAGGCGTAAAAGATTAGAACAATAACTCCATCGTTCAGAACTTGATGGATTTCTGATCTGCAGCCCGATGAGAGAAACTTTCAGACAGTCTACGCCGAAATACATAATTGCTTATTTGGTTTCATAATGAAACAAGCTCATATGCTTTTCCTTCGAAATGTTATCTTTTCGTTATTCTTGACAATTTATTTCGTTGTTTTCGTGTTTTTTTTCCTCTTGTATAAGTGTATTCTCTGTGCACTTTTATCTATTATATATATATATATATCTACATCTGTCAAGTATTTTTATCCCACACATATAGTCAAAACGTAAGAGCAGTAAAGAGATGCCATGCCGCCTTTCGCGATGGTTGCAAACTGTCGAACCGGCCTGACGAGGAGACCTGGTTACATGTCCTTTAAAATGACCTCGAACTTCCTACGACAGATATAAAATAATGCGTCCGCCAAGCCTCCTAGACCACAAGTAGCCATCTTACTTGAAAAAAGAAAAGAAGAAATCTAGCCGGGGCGCCTTTCACCGGTATTGGAAAAGAACGGGATGGAAACAATGAGATGATAAATTGACACAGTGGAAATGTGCCAAATTATACATATCGAAACTTCGTATAGTAGAGCCAGCTTATCGGCCGGACTGATCGTGGTTAATGGTCACAGAGCTTAATTGCCCCCCCCCCCCCCCGTTATGTAGAGTACATGTGAAACTAAGAGGGGAGGGAGGTTCGCTAAGTCACTCTAGTATATCCGCATACTGCAAAGATAGAGGGCAGAGAACTTTCTGTAGCAGGTGATACGTGTATGACTCATAGACAAGATGCGTTTGACACATGTCTGGACATTACGCCCACGAACATTTGGAAAAATAATAAAATTAGACGATGTCATTGTATTCCTACACTTCCGTATTGAACCATTAAGGAACTGCTAAGGAAAAAACCTTCACAGACCAGTGCACGTATAAGCTTGACGATATTTCTACAGATTGTAGCCCATTTCCGTGGTAGCAGATTAATATGGCGAGTAAGTAAAACGGGAGCTTCGAAAAGCTCCAGGCCCACTCCCCGCACTCAAGGTCGTACCTGCCTCATTTATCGCGTCGCTGACTTAATTCATTATTATTTATACTAATTATTTACTTTGCATGAGAGATTTTTGCAAGTACAACTTGGACTATTCGTGGACATAGTCAAGCGGATTTGCTTGTCCGATACGCCGCTCCCCTGGACATGATTTGGTGTTTTTACCGTCCCCAAAAACATATGGTACGCTGGGCTCAGTTGGCGTTAGCGCTGCTATCGCAAGAGTGACTCCGATAATGCGGTGTACCTAAATAGTGCATTCGACTACCGCTCGAATGCTGGCATTTTCTCGGTGCGGCCGAAACAGCTGTAGCTGCCACAGTGGTGGCGACGAGGTGACTTTGCAGGAACTGGCGTCGGCGTGCCCTCGTCTGTCTATGACTGGGTGTTCTTCTGGCCTTCGTGTGCGCTTGTCCGCGTTCGGGCCTGCTGCTTCGGCGACTGCTAATTCGGCTCTGGTCACCAGGCGCTTGCTGGCGAGCTGGATGCCGACTTGCGGAGGAGCGACGAGCTGTTTCGCCGGCGAGGAGGATACCAGGCTCCACCTACCTCTCGCCCCATCTGCCAAAGGCATGTGCCCGCTGCCGATTTAACAGAGAGACGAGCCGAGGTGCCATGCAGTTGATGTTACTTGTCAGCCGCAGTGTAAAGTCGGCTCTATTTCTTTCCGAGTAGTATTAGTAGAGAACAAGCAATTGTAGTACTGAAAAATTAAGTTTTTTTTTTCTTCGCCGCAGAACAGTGCGTGTACAACGGCAGTAATTGTGACCCTATATGTATATATACATATGTATGTATACGTATGCATCATCTTCGACTAGTAGAAAACGAAAATTGAGATAGGACGCGCGTCTGCTAAGCACCTAAAAACGAGAAAGGCAGGCCATAGGACAGAAACCTCCATCCTCATAGTACAAACGTAGAAGACGAAGAAAAAGTTTAAACGAAGCGTTTCTGTCCCGTTGAGCACATCGTTGTCAATGCTACTTTAGTCAAAACATTTAGCGGACGGCAGATCTGGAGGTCGAGCTTCGCTAACCCACCTGTAGCCTGGATGACCATCCCGCTCTTAGACGCTTTTAGTTAGCACCGTGTTAACTGCAATTTAACAACAACAACAACAACAACAACAGCAACAACAACAACAACAACAACAACAACAACAACAACAAGAGCCACATCGCCAACAACATCAACTACTATGTTGGTTATTAACTAACAAATCCTTATGGACTTCATCATTATTGGTGTGGTTCAGTTCCTTTTGTCCTTATTAGTCCAACAAACTGTTCCTACATGAACAGTTTTCTTTTTTCTTTATACGAAGTGTAACGTGTCTGTCTATCAGTCTGAAATAGTACGTACGCCCTCCTCTCGTGACGAGCAAGAACTTCACCGATAGTTTCAATCAAGATGCTCTCAAATGTAAAGGCGCTCCTCGAGGTTGGCCATTTGATCGCACGCTGGGCTGCGTCTAGTGCATTGTCAACAGCAGATAGCAACGCCATATCAGCATGCCCCTTCCACGCTTTGTGGGCCAAAAGAAAGCCGGAGAAGGGAAATCAGGCTGACCTTCCCGGGGTGTCCAACCGTGAAACACATCCGTTCGAAGAACTGCCAGCACCTCGAGCACTGCCCTTAATAGGCACCACTCTAGACGTGATCAGGTTTGGGGGTGCGCCACGCATCCATGAGTACTGTGATCACCGCCATAAGCAGCTAGGGCCAATATATACTGAGAAGTTAGGGGATGTCGAAAGTGTTTTCGTCGCCGATTCCGGACTCATTCAACAGGTGTACGCCAATGAGGGCAAGTACCCCCAACACATGGTGCCGGAGGCTTGGACGATTTACAATGAGAAAAAAGGCATCAAACGCGGCTTATTCTTCATGTGAGTACCACGCACGTAGTTAGATAACAATCGTAAAAATATGCTGTGTGAGTGATGCTTGAGATCTTGTTGTAGGTATTGTTGATTAGTGACAAGGAAAGGAAAGCTATTCATTTTATATATATATATATATATATATATAACTTTCTATTCGGAAAAAGTATCCGGGTATTCGCTATCAAGGTGGAGGTCGGGCACAGATTAAGCCATCCAATGGGATCAGCTGAGGTCTTGCAAGATGGTTTGCGAGAAGATAGATAGGACGAAGAATCCTGTCTGTTAAGTGTCTGTAGCGAAGAATTAGGTGCCTGTTTTGTTCATACACAAACATGAAGTATCATGCGTGGAACTGCTAGGAACGATAAACACGTGATACTTCATCAGGAACCGATTGCGGTAAAATCCGTACCTGGTTAGTAACTGTCTCGGTTCAGTATGGTCCGTCAACAGTTTCTAAACGTGTAGTTCGCGTGTTCCGCAAAAGCAATTGTAAAATGTGATGTCTAAATGGCCTTCAGAAGTTTCAGTGCCTTGTTAACAATGAATTCTAGCTCTACCAACAAGTTCGCATCTACACTTATATAAGTTTATGATGAAGTATAGCTATATATTCACGTTAAAGCAGTCCCTATAAACAATCACTAGTCTTCGTTTTCTTTCTTTCCAGAAAGAATCGCTGATATTGTCCACAATTGCATCGAAACGTTACATTATGTATTTTCGTTTTATCAGTCCTAACCCGCTCCGTGTGGCATATGACCTGTAACATTACAACGTCACATTCACTGCTGACAAACGACAAAAGGGCCAATACTTCGTAGGGAAGTTCCGCCGCACAAATACGCGCCGCTACACAATATAGGGGATTCGGCCTTTTGAACATCGCCTTTTCATCTTGGCCGCTGTGTGGTCTGTGTACTGGCCTGTGTGTTCCTCAACTGCTGCGGCGATTCGTCCCGCCCCGTCACAGGTCCTTTAGCCGGGCCTAATAGCTAGTAACGGCCGCTGTAGACAAACACATCTATGGCCGGGGTTCGTGGTCATAGCATACTTCCTAGAAGATGTTCACCCAGCAATAATGCATAGATGCAGAAAAAGAAAATCTGCCGGCCACCGCGACGTTCGTAAAGGCAAAACGCCGCAGTCGTAATAGTCCAGCTGGTGATGGCGGTAATTGCTGTTGCCACTGCTGCCGCTGGATTACTACGTTTTTGGCGTTGCATTGGCCGTCCGTCGCATTCGGTCCATCAGTAAACGGCCCCCGGGAAGATGAGCCGTTGGGGCTAGGTAGTCATTCCTCGTTGCCGCCTGGGCGAAGGCGGCGCCGGTATGAGCTCCCCCAAGCCACACTTGCAGTAGGCGAATTATTTGCCGAAGTAGACTTGAGCCTTCGGCAGGCGCTGCGGTAGCTACTGTTGCAGCTGAGCGGGAACCGCAGGCCGATTGTTGATCATGTGATGATTTTTCATATCACTGTCCTTTTTTCTACTTCGATTACCTGATTTCGGGTCCATGGTTTGTCATTTATTGAACATGTTGTTGCTTGTTCTTTTAAACCGCTATGGTAGATAGCATCCGTTGTTGTTGTCGTCATCGCTGATTCTCGTTGCAGTAGCCAGCCAGCCAGCCAGCCAGCCAGCCAACTTCTTGTAGGCGCACCCGATGCCCCGCTAGGACCGGCTATAGCACCGGCTGCCCCGGTGGCAGGCGCATATGAGTGGTCTGTCTGTTTGGCCGCATTGACGTGTTTTCATGAGGGTGTGAATGTGCAGCGGTGGCCTAACAGAAGTGGCGAATCACGATAGCACTGGTGACGGGGTGATGGCGGCTGTCTGCCTGTTGTTAGTATTGACGGAGGGTTTGCGACGTTTCGGCTTGTGTTAATTGTGTTGTATCGGCAATGTTTTTGCGATTTGCTGCGATATGTTCATTGCAACGGAAGAGTGCCTCTTGCCATTTCTCTACTGTGATGGCGGCAGCAGCAGAGGCAGATAGGTTAGTTATTGCTGCGCCTGGGTGCAGATGCAGCGTCGTGCGGGCCGGTGCTTCAGTGTGGTTATTGTAGCAGCAGCTGCGGTCGCGGCTATAGTCTGGTATAGGGCTGGGAGCCAGATTTCCTAGCGACGGTTCCAAGACGCCTAACGCGATCCATAGGCCCAACCCGGTTCGCCAGGGCAATCCACAACACAGAGACGGTAACAAAGCGATCAGCGTACATCGGCGACGCTTGTCCGTAAGGGGCGACTGTGTCCGTTTAGCTGACTATCATAGTGATATGGCCAATTGGCTATATCATCTAATTGTAATAAACAAGAGACGTTGTTTACAGCCCCGACGAAAAACTCCAAGGGGCAACAAAAAGAACAGTTGCTTATTTACTCTACGACGACGGTGGCTATGATTTAAAAAAAAAACTACTTGTTAGGATACCCCTCGCCAATCCTTCCCCCAAGCGGGAGAAACAGTTGCAAGCGGAGGGCGATAATACGTACACGCGGGACATTCTATATTAATAAAATGACAAAATACTACTTTTACCAGTGGTAGTTAACTAGAAATGTCAATAATAACTACTAAAGAGGAAGTAGTAGGTAGAAGTTGTTGCCGCTTGACAACCAGGCACAGCTGCTTGACAAAGCTGAATTATTGGCTCATGTTAATAAGATATGGAGTTATAGTCCGAATAACCCATCAAGCGATTATAATTGCTAACAAAGCTAGCAATCATACGGTAATATAGCTTGCATATAAGCGAAAGCAAAACTGAATAACGTAAACGTTTAGCCACTAGTAAATATGTCGATTAACTGGACACATTTGGTAAATCGATTGAAACTGTTCCAACATGACAGCTGAAATACAAATGATTACGGACGGTACGATGAGAGACGAATTCTGCTTTCCTATGCGTAATACCTGCGTAGTAACACATCGGGGGCTTCATATATTAAGATACGCAGCTTGCGTAAGGGTCTGTGGCAATCAATATAGACCTCTTTTCTTTACTTCAAGCTTCACTATTAGTGTCCGCCCGCAGCGCACTTGATTCTTTTGTCTATTAACGTACGTAGCTAAAAAACCGTTTACATACACGGGAGACTTCAAATCAAACAGTTAGTTAATTACTCGTTTGTTCCGAGGCTCGTGCTTCTCTAAGGGCACGATAACATTTTAGTTCGAGACGTAACCGATGGAAAACCCTGATCATTTCATCAAATACGTGAAACAGCAAGACTCTGTAGTCGATATGCTGAATGCTAAGTGCTAGGTCATAGCTTCGCGCCGGATTGCCGACGGTTTGAACCAATTGGTGCGGTTTTCCAGTTAATGATGATAGAATATTGAAAGCCAGCAGAAGCATCCGTTAAACCCTCGAGTCAATGAGGTTAACAGAGGGTTGAAAGGCCTGACTCGAAAGTTCGTTAATTCGCCTGTGTCGAACACCGATGCAACTTCGGCTATCGAGCACTGCTGAAGACAGGAACTGGGCACCCAAAGACTTCATTAGAGCGAACCCCTTTCCTAGTACAATGAAGTGCGGGTACACGGAAAACTTAAGTTGTTCATTTCAACGTTGGATTTGCCCACCTAATCAGTATCTAGTCGCTCAATTCATAGTTAAGCCTGATCTTGTCGAAAAAGTGTCTATGGCCGGATCGGATCAGCGGCGCGTTTCCGTGGAACAGAAATTTAGGTAGAGATTATTGTGAAGTTTTTTAGTTACAAACTTGAATTCTTTACAGGGAAGGACCCGAGTGGCAGGAATGCAGGAGGGCACTTAACAACGTATTTCTTCGGCCTAAAACAGTTTCCGATCATGTGCCCGTATTCAACGAGGTGATTGGAGATATGGTGTCCCGTTGGGGCAACATTTCCGCTGATAATAATGGCTACCTGAATAATCTCGAACGTGAACTTTATACCTGGTCCATTGAATGTAAGTTGAAACGAATAGAATTTCTTAAAGCAACGCTCCCTTTGATTTGTGTAACGCGCCACCAAGCTGTACAAGACAAAGCCCTATAAATACGTTACCTTAGAACGTAAACGTCTCGTCTTAGATAAACCTCACTTTCGAAGAGTCTCTGCCCCCTAGTCAACTGAGGTATGTCTTTGAATAAGTCGCTTATTAATCACACTGCGTTAGTTAACTAACTCTCCTCTTTCATGTCTAACGGCACTTAATTTCCTGTTCTTTGAAATACGAAGCTTTGGGAGCGATGATCTTTGGCCGTCGTCTGGGATGCATCTCAACGGCTCAGCATAATACCGAAACTGAAGCTTCGGTGCGTCCGGAATCGATTCACGAATTTGTGAGTTGTGTACAGCAAATATTCGCCGAGTCAGCCAAAATGACGACAGTTTCACCTAAGTTGGCCAGTGTCCTTCGTTTGCCCATGTGGAGGAACTTCGAGAGAGCAGCTGGACGTGCGCTTGAATTAGGTGAGTTGTTTGTAGCCAAGCGCATCACTCTTCACACATGCACACACGCACATGCGCACATATGCACACATGACAGAAAGCTACTGCGCCATGCTCAGAGATATAGAAAAGGTAAACTGATGCGCGGATACTGACGTTTATCTGCAAGATGACCATTTGACGAATCATAAGAGACGCTCATGGTAAATGTATATATTCGTAGCACATGTTATATCATGCCCAAAATTCTACAGTGCGAAGCTTCCGCTAAAGAAATTACTTAGAAATTATCAAAAAAAAAGAGATGAGAAGGTTAAAAATCACTGAAAGTTGCATAGCTCTACGACTAGCACCACTAGGTTATGATGATATTCATTTGACAACGGACGCAGCTCACTCTTTCTAAAGTGAGTGGTCTGCTATTAGCCACCTACGAAGAAAGGTTCCCAGGATGGAAGAAACTGGACCGTTGCAGCAAAGTGACTGTGATTCTGGCTGGCCCGTCCGACCCATGACCGCCCGTTATGTCTGTTTCGCTTTTGCTCTAGGTCATTGCGACTGTACGGTGAACATTCAGGTCTATCAGGCCATATGTCCACTCCATACGAGCCTAGCCTTTTTAAGTTTCGGCCCGCTAGACGGCCCCGCGAGTCCGCTATTCGAATCGGCGACACCGGCGATTACTATACTCAGAGCCCAGAACCTTCCGCCTTCGGATTCGGCCTTGAGCGTCGACTCGACCACCAGCCATTTTCTGCTCCTTGTGCGAATCGCCGGTTGAAGCAGACGCAGCGAGCCCCGTCTGTTTTGGCCGCATCCTGGCTTCGGAATGGAACTCGATCCACTTTGGACAGACCAATAATTGATACACACGTTGTTGTAGTAGTAGCAGCAGCAGCAGCAGCAGCAATAGTAGTAATATTCGACTGGATCGTCGTAGTCAACTAAGCCGCTCGACAACTCTGGTCTGTAGTCGGCCCCCCTTCGCTCTTCTCCTACTGATTCGTCGTCATCTCCGCCATGGCCATTATCATTAATAGCATCGGCAGCATCGCTACAAGTACCATTATTTCATCAACATAATTTTCATCTTTTCCTTTCGAACTTCATCGTCATCATTCGTCTTTATCTTATATTCTTCTAGGCGGCCACTTTTGCTTCTGCATCCAGCCACCGACAGGCGTCGCAGCAGTACTGTTTCTGCAGAACCGTGTTCGGTATATATTTGTTTGTCCATCCGTTCATCTGTCTGATGGAGCTAAGTCTGCACTGCTTTGCTTACCAGGCCCCTGCTGCTGTTACCAACGGCGATAACAGCAAGCAGTTGAGTGATGGTGGTGATGGCAAGCCGATTATGGCCAGCTCTGCTGATGCTGGTAGATGTGGCAGCGGCAGCAACGCCTGCTGTCGCCACAACGTTCCAGTGACGCACTGCAGCATCAGTGATCTTCATCGCGAGTGACCGCTCCCCCAGTGGGCACGCCGGGCCACTTCCGGCTATCAAACCGCAATACCACCACCACCACCACCACCAGCCACATCGTCTTCGCTTTGTCAAATCTGATGCGCGGCGAACGGCGTCTCGCAGCCGCTGCGGCCGTGGCGACCGCTCAGCGGGGTGCCAGCCCCGGGCTGGTTTTTAGCACCAGCGGAGCAAGCATCAAGATCACCAGCACCGTCCCCACTCACAGACGCTGGACGGCGCGCTCCCATCTGCTTGTTGTTTGTTGCTGGTGCGATGGATACTGCATCTGCTGCTATTGCTACCATAACTTCGTTTTTTTTTTTTTTTTTTTTTTGACTCGCTATTCATCCCAGTGACGCACGCTTTGACACAGACAAACATAGTTACACTCACAGCGACACGCGCACACACACGCAAACAAACGTACACAGACACACACACACACACACATGCTTAATCACACATAGATAGGCCCATAAAGGCAAAACGAACTAATCTGCGCGCTGTCCGCCGGGCGAACATACACTGGGTAATAGAAGAAGAAGAAGAAGAAGAAGAAGAAGAAGAAGAAGAAAAAGAAGAAGAAGAAAAAGAAGAAGAAGAAGAAGAAGAAGAAGAAGAAGAAGAAGAAGAAGAAGAAGAAGAAGATGAAGATGAAGATGAAGATGAAGAAGAAGAAGAAGACGACGACGACGACAACAACAATAGCAATAAGGGCGAAGTGGACACAGAATTTACGGGCCGCCCCCCTGCAGATTCTCGCTGTGGCGTTTGCAGCAGAAGCAGCGCCACAGTAGCATCCGCTCCGCGCGATTTTGCTTTTGAGATAACAGGTGCTCCGCCAGTCGACATCGTCATGGGCGCTGCTAAGGGGGTCCCATGTTCAGGAGCTGAGGAGTCCTGATGTCAAACGACAAGCACTGCACAGGGACCGCATCTGGAGCAATCGGGGGCAACCATCGCGAGGCACGGACGAATCGGAGCATTGTGGTGCTCTAGAGCCTGCGTCGGACGGAAAAGCTCTCGGTGTGAGAAAGCCATCTGAACATCAGACGACGCGATATTTCACAGAAGAAATAATAGTGAAAAGCTAGGGTCATAGCTTTTTATCTTGGAAGAAAGCAATATGATAACAATTGTTGACATGAAACGATGACGGCAACAAACGAATGACAGAATCTGTGAGAAAAGTATTAATAATGGTGCGGATAACAACAAAAGATCAAGCGATCTTCTCTAGGAAAGCAGACACTTAAGCCGCAGTAAATTAGTTCCGACGAAAGCTTGATTTCGAAAATATAATTACGGGCGACACGTAAACAGCTTCAAATCACCTGCTTTTATGTAGCAAAATTTCATGACTAATTAATACATATTGAGAGAGAAGTATTGCTATCGAGGCATTACCCTGGGCCATTTTTGAAATAACACATAATTTACACATGCCAACGAATATTCTTGCCCTGTGCCGGCTTAATTGACAATGTAATAGAAAGAAAATTGTACCGCGTTATCTGGTGTACCGTCCGCGCATATGCAATGGCTATCTTTCTCAATTTATGTACCCGTATCGTTGCGAAGCCGCAACGTAAAGTAAAGCTAACGTTATACGTCACAGGTCCTTCTGTCATTCCAATTCGATTTTTTAGTATAGTCATTGCTTCCCTCTCGATTTCAAGGTTACATCTGCACTCAATTCTGATATCTTTTTTTCTATTTCTTTTCTTTTTTTGTGACTATAAGCGTCGGTTGTTTACGTGATAGTGATCTTCTGTTTCCGTACTCGATCAGAAGGTCTTTCTCTTTTCATTGTTGCGCTTTTTGGTTAAACACGACGTTCACTGCGCTGCCAGACATATGACATACAATATATTATTACTGCAGTGTTATTTTTCCTCACACTTTAAACATTCTTTGTCGCTCGCGGCTATCTATGCTGTAGCTTTCACCATTAGCCGTCAGGCCTTGTCTGAGCCAATGTGTGCTATCAACGTTTATCCCAGCAGCGGCTATAGCGGCAGTCAAGAAGCACGAGCGTTAGGCGCTTAACGTTACGTTGGCCGTCGGCAGACGAAGCGTCACGCTGACTCAGCTAAGCAGCTGGAGCAGAAAGCCCAGAAAGCGAAAGTGACAGCCAATAATGAAACCGTAGTAGTGAAGTCATCCGCCACTGTTTACCTTCACTGATGACCAGTTCATCGTTGACAGCACTGTCACTGAGGCGGCAATCGCTTTCGGCGATTTCAGCAGACGAAGCGATGAAGCCGACACCCATCGCACACGACGATGACTCTGCTAATTATGGTGGATGGTGCTCCCCAGTAAAATTCAGTCCACCATCACTCGATCATCCGGATCAACAAAGTCTACCTTACAGAGGAATCAGCAGCAGCGATTGATTGACCCAAGCAAAACAAGCTACAGATCGTCTCCCGCACTGACCAGCGATTCGGCAACGGCGCGCACATGCTCCAAGTAAACGCGACAAATTGCGCGGTTCTTCCCATAAGCGACAGCTACCGGCTGTTACTGGACAATAACTATAACACTGTTGGCGACTGAAGATTGCCGTGGATTCGTAATGCTTGCGGCAAAGACTGCTGTGCTTACTAACCGTTCAACTTCATCCACCGATTACGTAGTAATCGGCAGGAGAATTAGATTATTATATTGGAGCTTCTTGATTACTCCCGCTTTTTCTTCGTAGCCATGTTCGTTCTACGATTTCGCGACGCCGACGTTTGCCACGGCGTCTATATACGTGCTCAATAGCACTAGCAAAAGCAACCAGCAGTAGCAAAGACAGCGCCACGCCAAACTACAATATTGTATATCGGCCTGCGACAGAAGAGACCCGTTTATCGGCTGTGACCAACGACGGAAAAAACGTCCGACTAAATCTGATCGCCGTTCCGATCAGAAAAAACTGAACTGAACTGAACTGAACTGAACGAAGCACACCGAGCACCGGAGTACGACAACGAAGCGAAATAGGGGCAGACGAGCTGCAGGTGTTCCAACGACGCTCAAAAACAATCCCGTCTCCAACAGTGCCACTGCCGTCACTGTCACCGTTTGGGGCAAAGTCAAACGGCTGCTCCTAGCCTAGTGCCTTGATTTTCGTTTTGTTGACTGACGACTGCTTCAGAGATCACAAGTACATGTATTTTAGGCGGTAGACTGCAGACATGGGCTTTTTAAGTAAGCTCTGAGTACCTTGTTATAGACGCGACATTCCTTTTGTTGTCTTGGCTCCGGTCGGATCAGCGCTCGAGGATGATTCTTCATGGGCGCTCCTGATCGGCGACGTCAACGCAGACAGTGCAACAACTCTGAAACGGTCCGTCTCTTAGTCAATAAAAGAAAAACAGTACACTGCTATTGAAGTGCTTTTCTGCTTGTGCGCTTATAGTGAGGACGGGCATAGAGCTGCCGCCGACGGCCACCATTTCGTAGGAGTCGCGGTAGTAATGAACAGTGCTTAGAGCTGGCAGCACGAACAGATAAAGCGAGTGGCGAATGAAGCAGAGAAGAACCGGTTTTGCAGAAACTTGGTCTTACCTGATTCTCCATCTATCGTTTTGGACAACTCTCGTGGTGATACCACCGCGTCAGAGAATAGACGCATGCAAGAAGAAGGGCAAAACGCTTTAACAGGATAGGATTCTCAAGTCGTCGTTTGTACCTACTGGAGATGACTTATTAAACTCACAGGAACATTTTTACATGTTATTGCTGTTTTCGCTAAAGCTGTGTTTATGGGAAAGTCGTTTGGGGATATATTCTCGATGGGCCTTGAATAATTTATATCGATCTAGATTTTTAAAAAGTAACGGGTATACACCTCGGTCCACGAGTGATGCTCTCTTCTTAAAGCTGATTGGCCTCACGACGTTTTTAACACGGAGGATTCAACAGGGTATAGATATACGGTACGAATACAGAACAGTTGTTGTAAGATTGAACACGTAACAAAAAAAGAAAACCTAACGTTAATTAACTCAATTGGTGAGAGGTGATAAGCATTTTTTTGTTTTATAATGGTGTCATCTTCAAGACGTATTTCAGCTTTTATACGCTAAATGCATATCGTGCTAAAATGTCGACAGTTATTAAGCAGGATTGCGCTTTAGATAATTAAAAGCGATGGTTAGAGTTCGATGAATAAATTAGCTAGGTTTGCTATCAAATTTATTTAGGTGGATGTCCTCCATTATAAATGAGTGACATATAAGAAATGAGTGTTCCAGCTGACATCTACAATGTGTTTTCTGTTTTTTTTTTTTGCAGCACGTCAGCTCGTTGAAGAGAACGTGCACAAATTGAATTCGGTTAGCCATGGCGGTGTCCACACTGAAGCTGGATCTTCGTTGATCGCGCAGCTTATAGAATCAAATATCTCCGCTGAAGAACTTGTCAGTATCGTCGCCGATCTCTTTCTTGCCGCAGCGGACACGGTAAGCTAACACGGCACTTGATATATAGATATAGGGATCCTCGAGGTTATAAAACGTGTGGCCCTTGGTAATTTAATTGCATAACTTTTACCTAGCTTTCCCGGTAAGATAGGTGAATAAAGTTACAGCGCTTTGAAATAATTTTCTGTAGACAATCTTTGTCGAACTCTATAGAGAACGGTGTAATCGTTCCAGATTTGCGGAGTTTGCAGTTTAATCCAGTAGTCTGTAAAAGAATCAGGTTCAGGTTTGCTTTCTGCGTATTGTACATACATGACTACCGAGCTGAAGTTCCCGTTTTTTGTATTAAGTTACTCATGGCCACTGTTATTATTTACAACTATTATTTACTAGCAGCCCGCTTCGCCTGTGCGGCCTTTGCGCGTAACGAGTTGCCCTATACCTCCCTATGGGCTCATGCATGGGCTATCTTCTATATTTAACCGATACAGGCACCACATTTACAGGTCGCACTTCATTTATGCGAGATCCATGCAATGCAAGTGTCTAGTAAACACACACAGTTGCAGGCACGGTCAAAACCTCTATCCCCTGCAAATAAGGCACTTCCTCCTGCATAAAAAACCTTTGTTGAATACACACAATTTTTTTTTGCAACGGATGCCTATAATAACTGATGCGAGGGCATTGAGAAACGGCTTATGCAGTGGCAACTTCGGCTTTGCGATAATCATGGCCAAGATGACATTAGCAATAATAGAGCGGGCGTGCGGTGAAGCGCTGCTTGATGCGGCGCCATTTTACGTCGCTACTAGCGTTGCCTACAGAATCTCCCGTTTTACGTTGTACATGTCATCCTGAACGTAAGTGACGAGGACAGTAAGGCGATGACATATTTTGATTAGCAATTTATCTTTCTTTAGCGGCGTGGGAGCAACTAGAGAAAATGACACCTAGGCTTACTACAAAAGCTGGCACCGGCGCCAGTGTTGGGTATTGCTGTCGTATATTTTGTCAGCTTATGGTTCCTGGTTGACACCATCACCCAGGCTACCATCAAGCGTAGATAATCAGGCGACCTATAAGAATTCAGGCTCTGGTGCTATTAGTTACCGGGCTGGGCAGATTGCCGGTCGGTGGACAGATCGCTTGTTCGTTACGTTGTACGTTGTTAATAGTGTTACTGTTACGCTAGAGAACGCTGACGAGAAAGAAATAGAGATCTTGACGCGTTGGCACCATACAGGGCCAACGCATCGCGATCGGAACTGCAAAGCGGACCTTTATGGCCGCAGTAAAGGCTTCGAAAACAGCGACGAAGTTTACGAGGCCAGAGTGAGGCGAAGCGATGCGAGCATTCGTAGCAGTGCAGCAGGAGATCAAAAGAAAAGAAAACATACTCAATTACTTTACATCTATGGCCCAGGATGCAAAACAACGACTAATACGTTCTGTTAGCAAAAAAGGCATTGTAAACAACTATGCAAATCGATAAACACCTACGCTCATTTTGCTCTTTAAAACGCATTCGTGATCTTATTGAACAAACCCGGAACGTTCGGAAGCTACCGTGCTTCGGGGCACATACAAATCGAAAAAACTCACTAAGCTCACATTGTGGCGGCAAAAAACTAAAGAGATGGCACGTGGAAACGACCTTGCACCCCGTAGTGGATATTTACACATGAGACTTAATTTTTTATATAAAATTTACCAATAACATTATATAACGAAACCATCTATTTTATCTCATATTCGAACCACTGCTTGACAGGCACTTCCGTAACAAGTAATCTAATGAAATGTAAATATAATGTAAAAAAAAAATGAAGTAACAAAATGCGCGTATTATTCGATGTTTCGTGTAGCTCTAAACGTAGCATAGATCACCGCTTTGGGTATGGCCAGTAGTTGGTATATTCAGCATAAGAGAACTTTGAAAATGCAATCAATGGGCATAATCCGTTGTTTTGGGCCTAACGTTACACTGCGTGCCCTGGGAGGGCACTGTAGTGGCGGTTTTTACCGTTGCGTTGTGTTCCACGTAAGATGGAGGTCGCACACGTTTTTACGTACTGCACGCTTTTGTTGTATGCGACGAGCTCGTTGGTTGGCGTATAATTTTTTGGAACACTACAAACGACCTTAGCTGCTTCAATGGTATCATCACTAGTGTCATTTAAACGAGAAGCTGTTCCCGCATTAAGAGGTCGCCAGGAAAGTGGAGGAATAAACGAAATTGATTATGCTCCTTATACATTGTTACTCAAATTAAGAATGGATTGTGTTAAACTTAAACGGCCGCCATTTTAAAGTGCTCTCCAAAAATCTTCAGTTTGCGTGGAAGTTGGTATTAGATGAAGACCCAACTGTTTGTGAGTTTAGATTTAACAGAGTAAAACTGGTAAACTTTAACTGCCAGTAAAACTTTGTTGTAATTGTGATACTTTTGTATTTGTTTTTGCTTTGCCATTTCCCTCGTTTCTCCACATAGAGGTTCTTTTCTTTCTCAGAAAGTAACAACGTTTGCTTGGAAACGGTGAAGAGAGGCAGAATCGTAGAACATTGAAGGGAGGAAGTAGGAACCAATTATAACGGAAAAAAATTTATGTCGATAGAATCATTCCGTTGGACGCACCTACTTATCATATCGTTTCGTGTTGATCCGAGCAGCCATGCTACGAGTGCGCATTTCCTGTTAGTGATAACCCCGTTTCTGTTGAGAAATAGATATTGATCCGTTATCATTATCTTCGCACTAACACTATGCCCGTTGATGATTTTTGTCTATAACGGATTTTCACCCCGTGATCGGAAAGTTTTTAACGTGTCTGCCGTTCAGTTCAACACTAAGGATGGTGTAAAAGTGGTAACTTTTTTTTTCTTCACAAAGGTAAAGTTAGCGGTACGTAACTTATGATGAAACAGTGGTTTGAAGAATCGCTATGCTAGCTCGTTACACCACAGTGGAACCGAGTAAAGTTCATCGGTGAGACAGGTATCTTTGTGTCCCTACAGGGACGGTGTTTGCTAATCTAGCACGTAGAATAAGCCCTATCTAGCGCCCAGCCAGTCATGTCATCCTTGTATGGCTTCTTTACGTCACATATCGTTATTCCTGGATACAGTCTTAGCGATCGGATCTGGATTGACGACGGGTGGCTGGTAATGGCTACGTGGGTGCAGCGATCGCATCTATGGTGCACCCCAATTCTATGGAATTGGGGTACACTGCCTAACCCATAAAAGGGCAAGTGGATCCATATCGCAAAGTGTTCGCCGACTTTGGCCACAAATCGGACTGATACTAGTAAAATCTATTTTCAATAGTCTATCGTCGCTGACTGTCTTTGCTGTGCTGTTTTCCTGTGCTGTTTTCCTGTGCTGTTTGATTTTTTCATATCCGTCTGGCCTTGCCTTTCCTCTTCTGGTAGACCTCGCACGCGACACAGTGGGCCTTTTACCTGTTGTCATGGCATCCGGAAGCGCAGCAGAAGTTGCTGAAGGAAGTGCAAAATGCTGTTGGCAAGGGGCAAACCGACATTCCTGAGGAGGCGCTCGTGAACATGCCGTACGTCAAGGCCGTCATCAAGGAGACCCTGCGACTTTATCCAGTAGCGCCATTTCTCACGCGAATTCTGGATCGCGACTTCACCCTGAACGGCTATAGAATCCCAGCCGGCGTAAGTTGGCATGTCATTCTTTGCTCTCGTGATTGATATAGGTTCCAGCTCTAAATAAACAATACTGTTTTCAGTGTAGTTTCCACTTAAACTCAAGGACATCTCGATAGATTACGATCTATGAAATCGCTGTTTTTTATTTGATCTTTTTCCCTTTCTTTTTGATCATAATCGGCTCCATATCAGATTTACACAGAACGTATTCGTTCGCTGTTTGTCAAGCGCCACAGGACCAGATACCCGCAAACAAAACTCGCAGGCCATTTATCAATTTTCTATTATTGCCATCTGCCTGTATCGTATCTAAATAAGGCTTTTTTATTGAAGCGAACTGCCACATAATTAGATTGTGATGGCAAAGATTTATAGTGCTGAATTCCCTTCAATGTGTACCTCAGACACAACTGTTTAGCCTAACTGCCGAGTGTCGATCTCTCTTGAACCGATTCGTATAAAAGCAAGCGCGGTAAGAGCGAACACGAAACGCATCCAAGCCAATTTCTAGTCTCCAGATAAATCGCTGAATCGGGATACGATCGATTTTTATAAATAAATAATAGTTCGCTTTTAGTATAGTCTAGCCGTAATCGTCGGACAGGGATAGAATAAAGGTGCTTTTATCTTTCTTACTCTCAGTTTTCTGTTTGTTCGTTCGTTCGTTGTTTGGACCTGCCAGACTTGCCGCCTCTTGACATCAATTTACCAAGGAAAACCATAATCATCATCGTCATAGGGATAACAGCAACAAAGAGCGCCGCTAAGACATGCGGTAGCGCACTGGATATTGCAACCACCCCAGAGGCGGGAGCTGGCGATGAGATACGTAGGCGTTAGTAGCCAGCTGTGATCGACAGCCGGCGCAGGTTGTCAAGCCTTTCGACCGGGGTAAAGGTGCCTCATTGGCATTCCCGCACGCTCGTGGTCGTCAGAAAGACAAACTGGTTTAAGATACAATGATTAAGCGGCAACTTATGGTAGTAGCTTTATGCCGTAGTCATATTGGAATCGTTTATGCCTTAGCAAAGACAGCGCTATAACACTGATAACGATGGCCCGAATCAGCGACAATGCTCGGAGTTTTACGTGGACGACTATTCTTTATTTCGAATCTTTCCAAAAAATAATGATTGTTTGTTAGTTTTTACGATTTTAGCCAGCGGCGATGTGCGCTTGTAATGGTTGTACCCTGATACGTAACGCCTTGATAACAACAATGATCACACCAAACAACAAAATAATCACAGGGGGAAACTGACAAGAACTTCGAGGCCACAATACCTACTACCTTTACATATTATGGTTTATACGCGATTGGTACACGCGACGGAACAGCCGTACGGGAATTTCCAGCGTTTGTTGTTTCGCCTCCGGCCTGCCTTCGCTCACCCTCAGCGTTCTCAGTCTTGACGTGTTTTCGGTTGTTCTCTTTTATCGGTACTACTATTTATAATGATGTTGACCTTGGTAAACAGCATGTATGTACGTATAGATGCACTCCTGGTAATGGCTTACTCATGTGGAACGAGCGCAAAAATGGTCTGATTTGCTTCTATCTCTAGTTCAAAGTATTGCCGAAAGTTGATTGACTCTTAAACTAGGCCACGTATGAGGAATCGACAAAACACAGCTCTGGTAGGTGTGTACACGAATGCGTGTATGCACTTCTCCAAGACTAGAATTAGCGACAGTGGTCATGAACACCCGTTTCCGCCATTTCTATAATTTTGATGATCGTTGTTTATCATTTATGCTGTCGCGGTCATCATTTCTGTTGATGTGGACAGAAATTATAATGGGGTTGCTAGCATGGACAAGGCCCGCACTATAGCAGTATAGAGATAGTCGCTAAAAACGGCGAGGTGCAGGTAGTAATTTGTCGGGGCATATTTGAGAAGTTTGCTCCTATCACTTTACGCCAGATCAAACTAACCCGTGCCTAATCTAGGCAAGCGTGCTAACACAAGAATCGTGAGCGTGCACAAAAGAGGGACAGCCACTGTATCGCCCATAAATTCACAGGCGAAATCATTGGGTAGGTTTTTCCATTTGCGATACTGCTGCTAAATCTGATCCGACAGGATCTCCCATTTGCTCCGACAGCAACTTCATAACTACCCCAGCGAAACTTACCGGCAGTGTTGTGTAAGAACAGATACTAAACGTGTGGCAATATTCTGCTGCAGAAACGTATTTATGCCAAGGCCAGCGGAATTCACCCGCCGCCCTAGACCATCTGTAGACGTCATTGCGTCTGCCCGACGTCTCCGCGGGGAACGTCTAAGACT